CTTGCTGGTGCACAATCCGTGCCAACTTGATCCATTTTAATTTTTAACTTTATTAATTTGGTCCCCTTCTGCATGTGCAATGATTCGTATGGAAAGCCAATTATACTCCTTACAGCCATCCATACAGTTGTTTCAGACATGGCAAATCGTTGAAGCCTCCTCAGTTACTAAGTTACTAGCCAGTCTTGAGGACTGTAGGAAAGGCATGTTTGGATAGTGGAGGAGGGATGCATCGTTTACTGACACAAGCTGACAATTATTCTTAATACGTGGACTTCTCTACACTCTTTCAATCCAGCAGCCACTCAGGTGGGTACCATCACTCCACAGCCCACCACAAGTTCGCAAGTGATGCCCATCAGAGCTGCCTCCCTCACATCCCTCTTGAGTCTCACCATTTCCTCTCGTTCTCAAATCATTGAAATAGACTGGCCCTTATTCCGTTGCCTACAAGCTTCTGACCCCTATTGAGGATCACATCACCACAACTGGTGGGAGCCTAATGCAACCTCTCTCTCCAGGAGCTGTTATTCACACCCCCTGCCATCTTCATTTTTTAGAATAAGAAGCACAGCAGGCCAGAGATGATGATGAGGCCTCTGGTGGTGACCATGACCATGTTTGCGGAAACCTCCTAAGAACTCTTTCCGAGACATCATTAGTGGCTCCTCACCTACCGTCCACACACTCAGAGGTCCTGGACAATTAAAAATTAATAAAGAAATGATGAAATTCCTTGAGCAAGGGACAAATTCCAAGCTGGTTTAGTACTGGTTATAACTTAAGGACATGTGTAATATTGTTTGTCACTTTAAATGGCAAAGACTGACAACCTACATTTGCCCCAAGAACACCCTGAATAAATAGTTTACACAAAGCAGAATATTTACGGCTTTGAAAAGAATGAGAAAAGATTTTCCAAACTGAAATGGAAATATTTCAAGGGGGGAGAGGAGGCGGCTCAGTTCATAAAGTGCCTGCCGTGCAAGTCTGGTTACCTAATCCAGACCACATGAAAGCCTGACATAGGTAATGCCAATTTCCTTACGGAGAGAAGGTTGCGGCAGGACAACCCCTAGATGCTTGCAGGCCACCCTGCCTGGCATCTGAAGTGGTGAAAAGCAAAGAGACCCTGTCTCATATAATGTGGAAGATGTGAAAGATGTGGCCAGAGACACGTTGTCCTTCGGCAGTCACACATGCACCATGGCACCTGCACACTCAACACACAGCACATACATCAAGCGTGCACACACATACTCGCACACACACACACATGCGTACACACACACATGCGTGCACACACACATGCGTGCACACACACACACACACACACTACAGACACAAAAGTGTTTTGTGGTATTAGTTTGAATTTTTTTTTTCTTGAGACAGGATCTCACTTTGTAGTCTTGGCTGGCCTGAAGACTCCTTGCATAGATTTGCCTGGCCTTAATGATAAGGTAATCCACTTGCCTCTGCCTTTTGAGAGCTGCATCACTCTGCCTGGGTTTTTAACTTATTTTTAATGGCTGCTTTTTGGTGTATAAAATAATGGCTCTCATTATGATACTGCCTGTAGTCATTTGAATGCTATCGCCCCCATAAACTCATAGGAAGTGGCACTATTAGGAGCTGTGGCTTTGTTATAGGTGTGAAGGCAGGCTTTGAGGTCTCATATATGCTCAAGATACCACCCAGTGATACAGTTGACTTCCTATTGCCTTTAGATCAAGATGTAGAACTCTCAGCTCCTTCTCCAGCACCACATCTGCCTGCATGCCTCCATGATTCATCATGATGATAATGGACTAAACCTCTGAAAAATGTAAGCCACCCCAATTATATATTTTCCTTTATAAGAGTTGCTGTGGGCTGGGCGGTGGTGGCTCAAGCCTTTAATCCCAGCACTCTGGAGACAGAGGCAGGCAAACCTCTGTGAGTTTGAGGCCAGCCTGGTCAATGAGAGCTAGTTCCAGGACAAGCTCCAAAGCAAGACACTGTCATACATAATCATTGTACTCTACCTTCACTAATTTACTAATTTGTCCTCTCCCTTCTACCCCCAAATAGTTTCTGACATACATGTATATAGCTAACATATAGCTATGTAGCTAAATGTACATTCTATTTATCTCATATGGGTGTAGTGTGTGTGTATATATATATATATATATGTAAATATTATGTATGTAAATATTCTTAAGAGTTTTCAAACACATTGATGTGTTACATGTTTAGAAATAAAATAAATCTCGTGGTAGTTCATGAACTCTGGACCAACAATTAGGGAGCTGGCATGGGACTGACCTAGGCTTTCTACATGTGTGTGGACAGTTGTGTAGCTTGGTCTGTCTGTAAGGCTCCTAGCAGTGAGATCAGGACCTGTCCCTGGCACTTAGCTGGCTTTTGGGAACCTCTTTCCCATGCTGGATTACCTTGTCCAGCCTTGACTCAAGTGGAGGAGCTTGGTCCTGCCTCAACTTGATGTGCCAGGCTTTGTTCAAGCCCAAGAGAGGCCTGACCTTCTCTGAAAGGAAATGAAGGAGGGGGTGGATGGGGAGAGGAATAGATGGGAGTTGGGGGAAGGGGGAATGGGAGGAGAGGGGTGAGGGGAAACTTGTAGTCCGTATGCAAAATTAATGAAAAAAAAGTTATTTAAATAACAGAAGAAAAGGGGAAAAAAAAGTCAAATAAACCAGGGCGTGAGCTTGTAGTCTCAGCAATCTCAGTTGCTAAGGCAGGGTGGATCACTAACCCCTGAGTTCAAGTCCAGCCCAGGTAGTACCATGAGATTCCCGCCATCTCAGAAGACAAAAAGTACAGAAAGAGAGCTGAAGTAAGTAAAAAGAAGACTCAAAGCACCACAGTCCAAACAACAGGTTTTGAAACAGAACTGCGTGCTTTATTGAGATACACAGTAAAGCAGTAATATAATACAATAGTAAGGCATATATTTGGTGAAGTCTGATATGTTGTGAAAATGAAGTAAAACTGAAGTTTAAAAAAATAATTAGTAAATGTTACAGTGTTGGTGTTCAAACACAATATATTATGATACTCCAGTAAGAATCCAGTACTTGGAAACAATGGTGATACATGCCATGTGATGTTTATGCTTCATTTACATTGATTATGATTTACACTTTAATACTTGATGGTTATAAAGAACACGAAATGATGTCCAAATTACGCTTAAACTCAGCAATAAAGCTCTCAGTTTTTGTTCAAATATTTTGATAGATTCACTCCAGACCTAACATCTAAAAGATAAAACAAAACGATTAAAACAAATTTATGCACTCTATCTACCTCTGATTTTAGAATGAAACTTAAAACTTCTTAGTAGGATGTAAAGTAACCCCTTGTTTTAAATCTTAGTTTAACCCTTGGGTAAAGAAAATGTCCGGCATTACATAAAAGAGAAAAATAATGCAAGACTAAAACCAAATCACAATGTTTTTTTTTTTAACCTTAGAGCTTTGGGTTTTCTTTTGGAAATTATAAAAGAAAAAGAGAGAATGGCATCCACACAAGAGACAATTGGTGAAGCTGTGAAATTAGGTGTGCACAATTACCAGGAACACCCCCAAAGCAAAGTGAGGTAGAAATAGCATGAGAAGCTGTGTTTGATGTTAATTACAATTAATAATGTACAAAATCCACTCTCTAAAAGTTAATTACACTAGAAGTTAGAGGTAACAGATTTGCAAAATAATAGGACAGTGATTTCTAGGCAAACGATGATTTGTAAATGCTGTAGTTATACAATGGCGTGAAAGAGGAAGTAAAGCTTTTCCTACCAGTCCTTAGCTTTCACCTTCACTTTTTCTCCTCTTTTTTCAATGATCTGCATTTGTTTATAATTTAGCCTGTCAGATTTATCAGAGGGTTCTGAGAGGCTTTTGTTCTTGAAACTGTCAACTTGTACCTTCCCACTCACAGTCCTGTATGGAATTACTTGCAGGGAAACCAATGCAAAAAAGACAAATGCAGTTCATGGACTTCTGGACTGACATTCACCAGGGTCACCATGTGATTGGGTTACTTTCTTACCACTAATCTTAAATCTTGCAGCATTAAAAAAAAAACCTCATCACAATGAAAAAACAAAATCTAAAATCTAAAAAATCAACAACAGCAACAGCAACAACAACAACAACACTACCCTCTTCAGTTTGAGTGTAAGAAGAGGGCAGAACAATTTCGCTGTGATTATAGAGAAGTCTGTATGTAGAGTGGTAAATATTCATCCCACTCTTTTACAGAGTTGCTGCTCCCTCATTGGGATTGACTAGGGAGTCACAAGTCTCAGCCACTACCATCTTCCTCCTATTGTCCAGGAGTGAAAAATGCCTTCTGATGCTCTTTTGCAGAAACATCATTACATATAAACCATGGCATAGCCAGCAGCAGGAAGCTGAATATATCAACCAACAGATTACTCTGATACAGTGAGTCCTGTGTATTTATTCACATGTTCCTGAAAAAAAAAATCGAAGATCTAGTTGTCAGTGGAAAGTTTAAAACTAGAAACATCTGGAGCCCGAGACAATATTTTAGTATGGTAGTGTTCTCCTGGCTTCAGGCTCCAGGGAAAATTCACTCTTGCCCAAGCAGATAAACCCAGATGACTAGAAGCAATTTATTTCCGTTAGGAAGTGGCAAGAACATTTGAAGAAGAAATTTCATATCTATTTATCTATACACCTATAGTATTTTTTTATACTTGTAGATATATAGATGTATAAAATGAAAGCCCATAGCCAGCCCCACTCAGTCAACAATTCTCAAAAGAGCAATATGAAGCAGTCATTTGGTGGTGTTAGAGGAAGTCCTATCTTTAATATGCAAGAAAAGAAATTATGAACTCCATATGAATACCACACTCAAATAATGCAAAACAATGTGCTGCCTCCTTGTGTGTGCGTGTGTGTGTGCGTGTGTGTGCGCGTGTGTGGGCGTGTGTGTATGTTTAGGGGTTTTATAAACAACATTTTTTATAAAGTACACTTTAGTTTACAATCTTTCTTTATAACTGTTATAAATTTTTAAACAACCCAAAATGCGTTCCATATAAAGAAATGGCAAGTTATTTAGCTATCAAGATTTTACATGTAGTTTTCTTTTAACTTTTTTGTACAATTGCATAGACGTGTAAAACCTGCCATTGTTAACAAAACAATAACAGACTTAGAAACTACTGAAATCTACAGTATAGTACCACTACCCTTCACAAAAATATAGATTTTATTTCTTGTAAACTCTTACTGTCTAATCCTCTTTGTTGTACGAATATTATAAAACCATGCGGGAATGAGGAGTTGTAAAACATTTATTCTGCTCCTTCTTCATCTGTCATGACTGAAACTAGGGACTCCATCGCTCTGCCCAAATCATCTGCCATGTGGAAAAGGCTCCCTACATTGTGTCCTGAAAAACAAAGAGAAAGCAGGACTTTAGAGAGGGCTCAGGTATTGTTCCCCTGATCGCCATTATGGGAAGTCATTCCCATTTCAGGATAAAGACAACACAGAGGCTGCATTGAAGTTACACACACAGTTCCACTTTCCACCCATGTTCAGGAAGAAGCAAAGCCTTGTTAATGAAGCATTACATGGTGTTAGTATCAGCTTAATGCTGGATCAGCCTACTGGTGTCATTTGATGAAAAAAAAAATGTGAAGCATTGCATTTAACTTCCCAATTTCAACTTCCCAACTCATCTCAAAGAAACGTCATAGACAAGCACAAGGCTCTTACTACAGAGAACATTTTGTAATGGGTTCTTTCTCATTTTGTTGTATTTACTACAACTATATTTATTCTGCTGTATATACTACATTTTTCCTATCAAGCCACTACCACTTCCCTTACTACCTTCACCGTTACCACCATAGGCACCCTGACAACCACACAAAATCTTCATTTACTGGCTACTTCAAGCTGTGAAGAATAGCTATACTATAGTGGGTAAGACCATTTTCTTTCCGCTTTTACTTTGGTTGAAATATAAACTCTAGATTTGACCATTTTGTGCACCATTCACATTTGAATTAGAAAGCTTCAGAACAAAAACCACTTTCCATTCCAAATTACTCTGCAGCCTAATTAGAATATGACCTATGTGTAGTGCAAAGATTTGGGGATCCTGAGAATCCATTTTTGCTGGCCCACTAAATGAGGGTTAACTATCAAAATAGCCTTTTCATAACAATGTGGCATGACCCGGCATTAATCCCCCAACATGGAATCAAGAGCATAATGTCTGTGGGTACTCTAGCAAAACTAACATATAGAATAAGATAATCTGAGATATACTTTACAGCTCTCTCTTTTTTTTTATATATGTCCCATATTTCATGAATCTGATTTTAATTCTTCAACCTTGGTAAGTCATTCTCTTTTTCAAGTACTGTCTTTGGAAATGAGATGCTTTATTAGACCATTACTACCTTATCGTGTATCAATTTAACAGAGTCTCAAAATTGCTAAAATCCCAGTAAAAGGCAAAGATAGAACAGAGCATGTGTTCTGTTATTTATTTCAATAGAGACATACCTTTTTAAAACAAAATATGGGAGAATTAGAAGTGGGTTCATGGGCAAGAACTTATACAGTGATGGCACCAGATCAATTCGAGATATAGAAAATGTTTAATGCCATTCAGGTACTTATATCACGGTGGGTAAGTTTGTAAATCTCTCTGAGTTTTATTTGTGCAGAGAATTTTGTTTAACTGAGAGCTAATTATGTTTAAAAAATTACTTTGGATTTTGTTTGAGACTTCAAATATAAAAACATTTAACAGAGCATATGTACTATTCATAAAGTGGGCCAATGTTCTGGTAGTAAAAAAAAAAAACCTGGACTCATCTTTCACTTTCTAGTCTCATATGGATATTAGAATATATATTATATAATAACATAGGAAAGCCAGGCACACTAGTGCATGTCTATAATCCCAGTACTCAAGGAAGTGGATGTCAAAGTCAAGGCCAATGTGGGCTACACAATGAAATCCTGTGTTTAACAAAAAACCAACAAACGTAAAATAAGAACACAAGCTCAGGAAGACATAGTGGAGCCCCTTGTTATTCTGTGGATCTCAGAATGCAAATATACAAGTGAAAGCCATAGGGTGGAGGGAGTCCCCTGCGTCTACTTTTCACTGCACAGCATCCCTGGGGCATCTTCACAATTATTCACACACTTCAAAGTCGATGGAGTAAATGCAATTTTTGAAGTATTAGCAATCTTAAGGAAGCCAGTAAAATATCCTTAAAGCCTGGCAGTGAATATAATTCCAACTGTATCTTATGACACATTATCTGACCCTAGGATAGATAATAGATAATATATTTTAAAATATAAACGGAGCAGGGAATACCTTGGCTTTTCCTATTAATTTATGGAAAATCAAAACTAACCTTTTAAGACTGCTGGCTAGGGGTTATATACTACAGTTCAAAAGATAGTAAAATAAATTAATGTACTAATAGAATACATTCCCAGGGGATATTTCCAGTATTTAAAATGGTGTTTGGTTACTACCTGGAAAAAACACTTGACTCTCCATAAATACCAGTTCTAGTAGGTTTCTGTTATTCCAAACGTTGCCAGCAGAAAGAGAGGCTCATTATTGTTAATATACTACACACACTATCATAAAATGTTGGTGGTATTAACCTGTTTAGACTGTTTAGTGTTGGTAAGAGACTTTATGATCATTCTTATGCTATATAAAATAAAACTTTTATAGGTGGCTTGCTATATTTACATCATATGTTTGGTATTATATCTTGGGTAACATAATTTATAAATACCCATTTTACCAGAATAATGATTTTATTTTTATGGAAGCTTGTATTAGATATAGAAAACAAACAAAATAAAACCAAGTTCATTATTTTTGATAAAATACAGCCCCCCAAAAAACGTTCATCCATGGGAGGGATAAAACAGGGACAGAGGACACAGATTTGTATGCACCATGGTTCTATTATCCTTTTGTGTAAGGAAGAACATTAGTGAGGTCATCAACTTTACCTGATAAAAATCTAAAAATATTATTCAAATATTATACTATAAACACAAGAGGTCAAAAAGTAGCTTCAAGGAACAGCAATGCGCTTTGGGCACAACTTGACAAAAATGTATCTATAGAAAGTATCAGTTTAATCCATTATTAAGTGAGGATTATTGAACACAAAGGCACCATGAGCTGAACATTAGGAGAGTTTTATGTTTTTCCAAGTTGGCACTCATTGCAACACATTTAGTCTCTCATGCCCCCACTGCCTAAGGGAGTTGTTTTCCACAGTGATTGGAATTGAGACTTTCTGGCAAAGATCCAAGACCTCAATAGCAATCTGGCACTCTATTTTTTTTTAATTCAATTCCCAAACAAATGGTTAGCATTCAATTGGCCAAAGCAAAGCCAGAAAACTGTGGCAAAATAGGCTTCTCTTTTCCCCTCCATAATTTTATTTCTAAAAAAAAATTGGCCAAGTGTGAGTTCAGGGTATTTTCATCGCCTTATCAACATCATTATGGTTGTGTCTCTATGATGTCTGGGAACTTATCTGACTACTGGGACTCTCAGGTAGTAGTCACTGATTCAATTCAATCTGTGAGACTGTGAAAATATTTATTCATGAATAAAACATGTTCAAGGATCTCAAAATTATTACAGATTTCTTGTCCACAAGAAATGAGAAAATTGAAAGTGGGCACTTACCATTAGAATCAGCCAAAAAGTCTTACACAGTAAGTATGTGAGTCGGGAGGATTCAGTGCATCACTGATTCAAGTTTTCTTAATTTCTCCTCCAGGCTAGTGTTCCCTCCCTAGAACTTCCATCCTTTTCAGGGCCATCAGTGTAGACACCCCAAGAATCATGACAATTATTATAATGGCATAGCAGGGTCTTGGCAGAATTTTTAGTATAACTACTTAGGTTTTAAACATGCTTTATATTATTTTCTACTGTTTTCAACTGTGTGTACTTGTGAGGGGGGTTGTGCACTGGGTTCCCTGGAGGTGGAGTTACAGGTGGTTGTGAGTCTCCCAGCATGGGTACTGAGAACTGAACGCAGGTGCTCTACAAGAGCAATATGTGTATTTCACTACTGAGCCATCTCTCCAGCCCCGTGACTACTTATGTTTAAATGTATCAGTGGCCACGTAGACAAGCATGCCTTCTGTGCTAAGGATCCAGCTCATATCTAAGAACATTCTTACTCTCCAGCTTATCTCCTCAGATCAGCATATACCAGTGTCACACACCAGCATATACCAGCGGCATCTCTTGGGAGAGCTTGCCCACCCCCTTCCTTCATATTAAGCTCTTGGGCAGGGCAATCTTATTCCACTTGGGCTGACACTTAGCACTTGGTCACCCAACAGTCACTTGAGTAGGTAAGTCAATGTTCAGGTAATGAAGAAGCAGCATTTCATCACTGAATAACATGTATTCAGTGTTAATGCTGCATCTACTCATTCCAGTTCTTAAAAAGGTATTTTAAAAACACATCAAAACCATAACATTCATTTTTTTTAACCCTAGTAGGTTACTATTCTGTTTGGTTCCAAATGACAAACACAAAGAGTCTTCTAAAGGACATGTTGAGACGATGTAAGCCTTTCAACTACTGGGAAAATGAATGTGGCACTCAAGTCAGGCTTCCTGGACTCCATCCTTGGCTCTGCCACCCTGGACACTTCGCTTCCCCACTCCTTGATTCAGTTACCTTAAGTGTGAAAAAATAAGAGTTCCGAAGAGTACCTACCTTTGTGTTTGTCATGAAGATTATGTGACGCAAGAATAAACGGCAAATGCCTACAACAGTGCTTGGCACACAATACATGCTGGAAAATAAACTTAGCTAAAATGGAAATGAAGGAGTGTAGGAATGAGGGAAAGAAGAAAAAAATCAAACCAAAAATAAATAAATAAATAAATAAATAAAAGGAGGTCATCTCAGAAGAATAAAAACCAAAGACTCGGGCAGAAAATTCTCAGGTCCTGGAAGTGGAAGGAAGCTTTATGACTCATCAACCATGTTCAAGGTAAAACTTATTTTGAAGATTCTGTTTGTGTTCCAGATGGCATCAGATATGAACCGCAAAGTTCCAACTTCGGGGCTAGAAAGGGTGCTATATGTTTCAGAGACTCCTGTTCCCCCAACCCCTGCTGTTGTCATGGAGATGACAACGACGATGAACATTTGAGGAAGGCTCCTCATGAGCTGCAAGTGGAGAGGCGACGCCCATCTTCAGATGATGGGTGCACACACACAGTTCTTACACAAGGGCCAGACACAGAAAGCAGGATGAGACAGACAGAAGCCATGGCTGTGAGCCCAAGTCTCACTAACCTCTCTCACTGGCTTTCCAGGGGCATTTCTTCCTTTAATAATAGAGAGAGGAAGA